GGACTTGCTGGAGGTGCTTGAGCTTTTGTTCAAGATAACTGCATTTTCCTAGAGAGGGCAGCACGCAGAGCTGAAAGCAATTTCATTTCTTGTTAATACTCTATTTTGGTCACTCTGGCATCTTTCTTCAAAAGCCATAAAACTCCATTTGGTAGTTGTGGCTTTTCCCATGATTTAGCCATAACTGTTTTGTGTAATGACTCTTATCATTTTTTTTGTTTGTTTGTTTCTTTTTCGTTTTTCATTTTTAACATTATATTGCTGCAACATAAAAAGTTATGAAGTTGTGCAGTTGCTCTTTTCTTCCACCCTCACCCACACACTTTTTTTTAATAAAGCCAGTGTTTGAGGTGTCCTCCTTCACCTTGAAACAACCTTCACCTCTGGGTTTATTCTCAGCTCAAGGTGCGACGCAACCTCCTACTATCTTCTGAAAGTTCATTAAAGCGCAGTCTAATTACCCGCTGCTATTAGCAAGCTGACCTCCGTGGGCTTCAGTGGGACTCGGGAGATTTACACCAGCATAAACGTTGGCCTTTCTAGCCCGGAGTTTGTTGAAGAAATCCAGTCGCCCCATCGCTCGAGCAAATGACTTCCAGCGCGCAGCGCCGCTGCCTTGAAAGCAAGGGCTAGATTTGTCACTTAGCCTTGCATGCTTATAGATGATAGGGTAATGCAGGCGTTTCGTGGCTCTGAATGTGTAATAAGTCATTAGTAGACGAGGGAATGTAAATGCCCTTTCTAAAGCCCATTATGGCTGATGCTCACTAGAACTTTGTGCTCTATTATTCTCTTCCTTTCATGCTTCATGCCTGCCCTTCCTAATTCTACTTTCTCAGCTTCCTTGATTTCTTTTTTTTTTAATTTGACTTTGGTGTCCCATGTGTAGTTAAAGTTCATTTTCATATACTGCAGTCCTCTGGCCTGAATACTTGTCCTTATGCCCTAGCAGCCCTAAAGATATTTCACTGACCCTTTCTGCCGGTGTCTCGGATCATTTTCTCATCTCACGGGTGAAAGCTGAACAGGTTGCAGTGATGTTCATCCTGTGTTAGAGCCCACTAGATTTATGGTGTAGGAAAGGAAATGCCTGTGTCCGGTCTTCATATCTTATATCAGTGCATGTACCTACATGCTTGAGGAATTTGGGTAAATTGTCAAACCTCATGTCTTTGTTCATCTCTTATTTCGAGGGACACTCTTTTGCTGGTATGTAGGTCTTACCACCACAGGCTTAAGTCTAAATAGTGGTTGCTAGCCACTTCATGGTTAGAGAAATGGAGACATAAGCACATACACACTATTATTTTCCATATTTACCCTAAACTTTATATATGTCACGTAACATTTTGAAGGGAGAAGCAATGGATCAATAGATTTTCTGATGCACCGTGCAGCTTGGGTGTCTTGGGATATATTTAGCCTAAGTTCTCAGATGCCTTTGCCTTTCTTTGCTTGTTACTTTGCAGAAATGGTTCTCAAATGCAGCTAGGCCATGTTTAGGCCTAGCTATTGATATCCTTAACGTTATTTTTTTTTCTTCTTCTTTTCCAGAACAAGAAGAAAACTTTGAGTTCATCATTGTCTCGCTCACTGGCCAGACTTGGCACTTTGAGGCTACTACATATGAAGAAAGAGATGCATGGGTACAAGCCATAGAGAGTCAGATCTTGGCCAGTTTACAGTCGTGTGAGAGCAGCAAGAACAAGGTACAGTACTCAGAGTAGTGAAAATAAAAAATGGGGCATTGGTAACTAAGAGGAAAACAAAGTCACCAGTGGAAAAACCTGAACCCCTAGAGAGGTGCATAGGCTAGGCACAGGTTAGAGTGGTATCAGCTAGCTGCATACGTGTCAGATATCTCAGGAGAACTAGTACTCTAACCTATTTTGCAATTTGGTTTCACAGCAATTGAGTAAATCATTTTTGTGGGGTTAGAGGTGTGCAAAGGAGCCTTGAAGGAAAGCCTGTCTTGGGGGAGAGTGGAGGCAGGTCCCAAACCCAACTCTTTTACTAGTCAAATCTCTAGTTCAATATTGTTGAGCCCCTGTGTGACAAAGTTTAGTTCAGTTTTCTGGTTGGCCTAATAATAAATGTGCAGTAATATTCATCCATGTGACTCGGTGATGATGCAACACATCTTGCAGAAATTAAAAATAAGTTACTGCCTTTGTCTTCTGTTTTACAAAACCTCTGTGCAATTTTTCTTTTCTTTAATTACACTGAATCGATGCTTTATGGTTTTGTGATTTAACTAATGTAACGGAAAACTAAACTAGAAATGCTTCATCAAATCTTTTTGAGGGGGGAAAGAAGAAAATGGCTGAAGAGGAACAGGCCGCCTTTTTCCTATACTTTAAAATCTGATCCTTCAGCCATTGCGCATTTTCAGAGGCACAGGAAAACAACTAATTCTGGAGACTTTGTATTTGCAAACACGTTAGAGAGCAAGAAATTGAGTAGTAAGGGAGGGAGGGAAATGGGGACATCCTTCAACACCATCCACCTAAAAAATGCCTTTAATCATTTCATGTTGCTAGGAAGGAGAGTTCAAAATTCTTGAAATGAAAGCCTGCATTCATTACTTCTTTACCAGAGTAGCTCAGACAGTAATGATCATCATCATAATATAATTTACTTATTATTTTTTTAAAAAAAAAAAAAAAGAAAGAGGAAAGGAATATATTTTTCTGGAATAGAGAAGACTTCCTAGCTATTCTTTATGCCCAACTTCCATGGAATTACATGTTCTAATGTACATATTTTAGAACCCAAAACTGCCTGTATGCATTACCACATGCTGCTAAGACAGCACAACAGAGGATTTTTTTTCCCTAACACCTATATATTAACATATATACATAGTATTTCAGAAGATGAAGTGGCTGATAATACTTGCTATCTAATACTTATATAGAAAAGATTGGACTTTGCATATGTTAAATACTCTTTTTAAAAGGAGACTCCATTTAGAAGTTTATGCTTACACAAAGAGTGCTTTTGGTTATATCCTTAACCTGCCACAGTGTTCAGAGAGGTTTATTCTGTAAAAATATTACTGATATCTGAAAACACAGCAGAAGTAGTAATTAGAGTAGCGTAAGAGTGTCTCTCTGAAAGATTGGGAGTGTGTATCTCCACATTGCTGTACTTAAGTCCTGGTCCTTATCCTGCTTAAACCAATTAATTGTAAGGAATCCATAGTTTGGTAAAGCTGGTTAGCAGTTGTTGGATCCAAAAGCTTGTCAGGTGGTGGAGGTGCATAGAGCTGACCTGCTTGTGCCTTGTGGCAGCTCCACTGGGTTCAAGGAAAGGTCCTTGGTGGGTCTTCATGGAGAGAATTGGAATGGGAGCCATCTGATTTGGGCTGACCTTTGGATGATAAAAGGCTCTCGATTTCTTTTGCAAACCACCCCTTAGTCTTCATTAGCCAAAGCACATGTGTCAATGAAAGAAATTGATTTTATCAAATAATATTCGTATCTAATTTATCTCAAGAAACAAACCTGCACTGTGACTACCTTCTTGGTAGCAAGGTTCATTTTTAGGCCTGGCTTTCCCCCTGCACAGCCTCCGCAGTTATGTCCAATATCCCTAAAATGCTGAGTTTTGATGCACAGGATAAAGAGAGGTCTAGGAAAAATCTTGAGCCATCAGAAATATGGAAGGAAATAGGAGTATCTTGGCAAAGCTGAAATTGTCATCCTCAAAGATGCTGAAGGAGCACATTTCTGGAGGAGCAAACAAAACTCTGCAGGTTCCTTGAACACATTCAGTCAAGCTGGGTCTGAGCTTTGCTTTTTTGCCTCTCATCCAGCCAGCAGCTGTGTTGTCTAGACTTTTTCATTGGGTTCTTATTTGTTTTATGTGTTTCCTTCAATATCCCTAGTCCCGACTGACAAGTCAGAATGAGGCCATGGCCCTGCAGTCAATAAGAAACATCAGAGGCAACTCTCACTGCGTGGACTGCGAGGCACAGAGTAAGTACAGCCCCTGCTAACGCAAGAGCTTGGCTTTTTAACGTTGGCCCCTTCTCCTTGGCCAAGACTTGCATGAACACCCACCACAACCTTTGTCTCTTTGGCATTATATTCTGTGCATGGTTTGCACGTGTTCGTTATGGAGTCTGCTTAATCAGGCTTATTTGATGTTAATTCATAGCTAATACATGCTATATCAAATGAGTCCTGATATTTTTGTTATTGTTCCTCTGTATTGTTTCACTTCCACTTTAAATGGGAGCATTTCTTTGCTTTCCTTTGACGAGGAGGAGAAAATGGTGTGCTGTTTGCCATCAGTTACTCCTATTTTCCGCCTATTTGGGGGTGGAGAGGGCATGTGGGCCTTGGCAATAGTCTCAGAGCAGTAAAGCTGGATTTTGTGTTTCCTTGTCAGAAGGAACCAGTCATTGCTCGTTATATCTGGATACTCAAAAACTGATTTGGGATTTTTTCTCACTTTCGTGTTTCTTTCCCCTTTTTATTTTTTAAACATATACTTAATGTTCAGGAAAGTGTTCTCAAGAAGGCTTTGAGCTGCTGTTCACCTCACTAACCCTGGCTGAGGTCATTATTCTTTTGCTCTTTAGTTCCAGGGGTTTGTAACAAAGCCATGAAAAGGAAGTACTCTTGCTCCAAAGCAATTAGTTGTAGAAGCAGAAGGAACAAGAACTTGGGCATCTTTATTTCTTTGGTATTTGAAAGACAGAACTTTCCTTGTGATTTCACATGTGCTTAAAATGGAAAAATATTCATTTATTTTTGTTTGTGTGTCAATGTTTGGTTTTTTTTTTTAAAGACTCACTGTTTAGAAATTAGACTACTGATCGACATTTTAACAACCCAGTTCACTTTAAAGTGAGCATTCCTACAGATACACAGGTGCTTTTGCATGATTAATTCCCTGTCCGCATAGTTAGCAATTTAAGGTGATTGGGTCACCCATCAACAAACCTATTATCCCCTGCCTCAACTTCAGAAGGCTCGAAGGGGATGCAGTTAGCATTAGCAGGCATTTAAAATGAAGTTTTTTTTCCAGTCCGTGCCTTCAAAATATGCTTCCCTTACAGATTTATTGATTTCAATTGCTGCTTTTGAAACCTGTCGGGTATTTATGGGTTGTCTGCAGGAGTTGGATCAAAAACCAAGGCAGCCGCTCTGTCCCCGGTGGTTGAGCACACACTGATAGGAGCCTTGGCTCACTTGGCCTTCGAGCACTTGCATCTTGTCAAAACAGCATGTTGACCTGCTCGGAGGTGGTCCTTAATAGAAATGTCGTAGGAACTTTTTACCAACAGGAAGAAAAAATAGCTGCATCAGTGAATTAAGATCTTTACGTTGACTAGTAATGCAGCAACAAAATTGCTGGTTTGGCCTGGATTTTACTGTACAAGTCCAGAACTGCTCTTATTTAACGGTGTTGCTTATTGGAGTGATAGCCATCAAGGTTTACTCCCAAGCTTGGATAAAAAGCTTAGATATACTTCAAGTAAAAGGTTTCAGAGATGCTGTGCTAAGGTCTTCACGGGTCTTTGGTGCCTATTTGGCTTAGTTGAAGTACTCACCGTTGCGTGCGGCCCACATTGCACAGCGCCCCAATTCCTTCCCTGCTCCCTCTTTGCTGCTGGCAGTAGTGTTTTCCTAGCCCCTGCTCACCGGATGAGATCCCTTCGCTGCAGACTGGTTCCCACCTTTCCCCCCTGGGGATAGGCCTGAATCCCTTTAAGCTGCCCAAAGTGAATGTTGTCACCAAGGTGTGCCAGCAGCATTTGTGCAACCACAACGTGCATTCAGTCCAGAAGGCGACTGTGCAGGAAAGCAGTGTGGGCTTTTTGTTTTCATTTGTTGTTTTTCCTTTCAGCCAGGTTATTTTTCATCCAGATGAGATGAGCTGGGCGCACGTGCATTCTGATAGAAGAAGCAAAGTGCCAGGACCATGTGCTAGGGAGAGGCAGGATGGGTCTGCCCTTTTTGTCAACAGTCAACACTGTTGTGGTTGTTTGTTTTGTTTGAGGCTTTTTTGCAGGGCAGGGTGACTCTGGAACCACAGTCAGAGCTGCATTAATTGTTCACATTCTTGGAGATTATTTAGATCCTCACTGGTTCTTCTGGTCATTTGGCCTTCCTAGTTTTTAAGGCCACTGTTGGTACTGAGTTCTTTCTGAAGTGATACATCTTAAAATGTAAGCCCTGCACATCATGTGAACCTCAGTTGGCTGCTTTTTCTGCCAGCCTTTGCTTTGTTTCCTTCTCGCCCTTTCTGTCCTGCCTGGACAAGTCCTTACCCCGGAGCATTTTGCATCACAAACAGTCTTGCTCCTGTGGAAAGCTGGTGTACTTTGCATCTTCACAAAGCCAGATGTTTGGGAGCAAAGGAATATGAGATGTTGCTGTCCCTCAGCTCTATTGAGGAGCCATCAATCTTCCACTTCAGAAGTCTCATTCTTCTTCTTTCTAGAACTCCTTGCCTTTTTAGCACTTCATTATAGCACTTTGTTTCACTTGGGAACTTCTGCTTTGTTGCCTGTTAATTGAATAGCATTTGTGTGCTCGGAGCCTTCTGGCCCTTAGCAGGGTCAGACTTAATTTTTTTTTCATGTCTTTTTATAATGTTCCCATCCCAGAGTGAGAGAGGAGAGATACTGAGGCCAAGTCTTCAGGTGCTGAAGTTTTTGTCTGAGTGGATTTTTTTTTCTTATGTTCCAAAATCTTTCATGTTCTTCTGTTTTCATCTTTTCTCAGAGGCCACAAAAGCAGTGAGAGTCTCAGTCCTGACTGCTTTCTGGAGAGGGCACTTAAAACAGTCAGATTGCATAGGAAAAGCCATCTGAATATCTGCCTCTGAAGGATTCTAGCTCTACCAGTGTTAATGCTTAAAGGATAGATCAAAGGCTAAGCACCATTAAGCCATTTAAGTTCTGGGAGAGCTTGGAATATCAGATCTTCACTGTTGTAGAAGAAAACAAAGAGGGCACATGAAAGGCAACTTTCATCCTGAGTTTTCCAGTACAACAGAGTTTGGATATCTAGGAACTTGCTGTTGTGTATTTTGGGTTGGAGACCACCGAACACTGAAGTAATAATTTCTGTGGCCCTGGGAAGTCCATCAGACCCATCAGAAGATTCAGTTTTATATGTAGAATAGAAGATGACTTTCAAAAAATTGAAAAGATGTCAACTACTCTGTCTTTTGCCATGACTTTGCAAGTTGTCTTTACCGGGCACCTCTTCTTTCCCTCCATTCCTCTCTGTAGAAGTGTTGTCGGCTCAGTCCAATCTTACATGTGCTGAACTCATCAGAACTCAACACGGTAAAGTTGTTCATCCACTACCCCATGTCCAAAGGGATGAGGGCATGGAAAGGTTCTTCTGTTGAAAGAGTTGATCCAAGAACTTTTGCCTTCAAATGATTGGTCTGATTAAAGCTCAAGTCAAAGTGGGTTGGATGTTTTCAGCGTAAGAGACAACTGAACACCTTTGAAATAATGTGGCCAGCTGAATACTGTAATCCGAGAATATTCAGTGATTCAAAAAAGGTCTTACTTGCTGTTTGACGAGCTGTAAGCAAATCAAAGATGGAAACTAGCCTTTCTAATGCCTATAACTTTGTGGAATGGGATTTTCTCCTTTTGCCATCACATCTAGATGTATGCATTTGGAGAAAAGCCTGACCTGGTGCACATGGTTATAGGTACCCTAATCCTAAACTACAGTCACTGGTAGCCTCCGCAGGAAAAGTGAAGGTTGCTCAAAGATGATTTTTGATCTTCTATTATGAATTCATAACAACATTTTTCCTTCTCTGTCTTGCCACTTCAAACTCATCTATATGTTTTCAGATAACTGAAATTTAAAACACTGCCCTGACAAAACCTCCTGCAACTTCTTGGTTGTATCCATTTGGACTCCTTCAGAGTGGCCAACAACTGTCAATTGGCAGTAGGTGAATATTTCAGAAATGTATTCATTAAAAAGCATACTAGATGTGCTTCAAGTACTCACATAATGGGGGCAGGAGGAGCATCAGGTCCTTAGCATCAGTTCCGTGGGGTTATTTTGAGAAATATTACTTGGGAGTTTTTCTTCTGCCTCATTCCTTTTTATTTTTGTGAAGATGACCCTGGCCTTTGCAGGTCGGTGGCAGAGATTTTGTTCCAAGTCACAGCCTGTAAATTTTAAATGAATATTTGTTCTGTTTCAAGTTGACTGTTTCTTGTTGCATTTTACAGTTTAGGTTTTGGGGTTTAGTGTGTTTCAAGTATCTCACTTGAGCTCCTCCACCAAGAACATGTCCAGAGTCACTGGTGTGGGTGACCTGAAGCAATATGCCAGAAAGGATTTTGTCCTATATGTCTTACCAAGGGCTTGCAAAGGATAGAAGTTTTTGTGGTCTTCATGTTCTTGGAGATCTGAAATATCTGCTGGCTTTTCCCAATATAAGACTGGGTATAGAAAAAACCTTTTCTAACAAAAGATCTGTTTTTCTGCCTGCGTGGAATAAGTTGGGGTGGGACTAGTTCTTTTGTTTCATTTCTTGGTTGTTGATTTTTTGGATTTGGATCGGTTCTTTTTTAGATCTATCTTTTTTAGACTGACTGAAAAATTCCTATCACCTTTATTGAACTTTACCATTAAAAGTATTTGTTATCCTTTAATACTTTTTGTCCAAATGTGATTTATTTGGGCACAGAAATAGGAAATATTTATTTTCCATGTCTTTTGGATGCCAGAAAAGACTTTCAAGTTTGGGTTGCACAAAGTGGCAATAAATCTTTTCATGAAGTTGTCCCAAATGGAAGTGAGCTTTCGTGGAAATTCATTTTCTAACATGGAAATTCCTCTTCTATCACTTGAAAACTTTGTATAGATTGGAATAAAAATTGCCTGCCCTTTCAATTAATCACGCTTTTCCTGCTTGGTATTTATGATGGCCTTCTGGAAAAGGACTTTGAATTTCCTGCCTTTTGTCAGGTTTGTCACAGCCTTATCATTTGCAGGGTTATTTTATTTTATTTTTTGGTCGCTGGAAGCCTTCTGGCTAGTACACTAAACTCGGGACTGTTCAAAGTAGCCCATTTTCATCTTAGTACTTATCTCCCTGATCTTAGAGATGAAAACATACCCCATAGTGTGTTAGATGTAAAAGCCATACGTAGGTGATGATATAGATGGTTATTAAGGGAGTTGATATAGTTAGCAACAGAGACATTGTATCTTGTAGCTCTTTTTCCCCCCTTTTTTTTCTCTTGTAATTGGCCACAAGTGGCTCTAGATACCCAAGGAGGAGCTTTTTCCACCACTTCTTCATAGCCTAGTGGTCATTCAGGTTATATTTTCTTTATTTCTTCTCCCTTGGCTGTAGATGGAGCAATATGTGCCACCTTTTGACACCCACCTGCTATTTATTTTTTAATGCTTTTGGATTTCTTGGAAGGGTTACATCCTAACAGGGCAAAAATTACCCCCGTTGCCAGGCTTCCCAAGCATGAGCTGAACACCTGCATTTTTCTCCCATTGCTTTTGCAACCAAAATGATGAAGGACTCTTGGTCAATGTCTCATTGTGCTGAATGTGCCTATCCCTTTCCCTGCAGATCCTGACTGGGCTAGCTTGAATCTGGGAGCTCTCATGTGTATCGAATGCTCAGGTATCCACCGAAACCTTGGCACGCACCTTTCCCGGGTCCGCTCGCTGGACCTGGATGATTGGCCTCTGGAGCTTATCAAGGTCATGTCTTCTATCGGGAACGAGTTGGCCAACAGCGTCTGGGAGGAGAACAGCCAAGGCCACCTGAAACCTTCATCCGACTCCACAAGGTAGGCGCCTCGCTCTGCCGGGCTGCGACACGCAGGGGTCCTCAAACATGTCATTTTGGGCTTTCCATCAGAGCTGGTAGGACAATGTTGTACAGGCTGGACTTTTACACTTCTATGTCTTGTATACAAAAGAAAAATAAGAAAAAAAAAAAGTCAGTGTATATATCCCTTCACTGCATGCCCAGTAAGACCACATGTCAAAGCGGGGGATGTCAAAAGTTGAGGTGATCCTGTTATTCCTTCCTGTTTGGGAAAGCTTCCTCAGCAGCTCCAGGTTTTTTTTGTTCCATTGCCTGACCTGCAGAGCGGTGGGATGCAGAAAGTTCCCAACGGGCTGGTCCACAAGCAAAGTTATATCCACCTGCGGCACTCTGCTTTGTGTAGCCACCAAGCCCTGACTCTTGGGCTACCAGTTCACAATTAATAATCTACGGTCGATGGTTTCGAGTTACCCCATCGTCATTTGTCAGTTCTCCGCATTCTCATTGCGGCCGTCTCACAAGTTCTGCTTGTTATGGAGTTGCTTATTTTCTTTGTGTAATATACGGGAAGGCTTGAGTTGGTGGGAGAGTACATTTCCTATGAGGAGAATTTTTAGCTACTAGTTATATCCCAGTACCTTGAAGTCTTCTTCCTGGTATATGTTACCCAAAGCGAGGGGGTTTGTGTGCTTATTTTATCTGATTGGCGCCAAAGGAGGAAGATTCTTCAGAAATACTTCTGAGGCTATAGTGGATTTTAAATGTAGGTGCTAATGGTTACAACCAGCACCGTGGCTCGGGGGAAGCGCTGTTGCTTCTAGCAGGCTCTTTCAGCAGAGGGGGTTCAGATATGCTGGAGACCGTCTGGACCACCTTGCCCAGCTGGGCCCATCTTTTAAGTTGTCTTCAGAGGTGGGTTATAACTGTCTTAGCGTGAGCTCTGGGAGTCAGGCTGCAGCTGAGCACTGTTTGGTCCCACGTAGCAGACGCTAGCGTGGAGCTGTATAGCTCTGAAGTGTTTGACTCCTGCATGCAAGAGAAGTCAAACAGAGGGAACTGTGTTATTGTCACATTAATGCCCGTGCTTCATGCCTGGATCCAGTTTTTTCCACTGTTGTGTCAAGTGAAATTTTAAGGAGGGAGCATAGTTTTACCTGGGCACCTCCTGCAGAACAGGAGCAGGTTTGCGCTGTTTTCTGTAAAAAAGTCAACTGTTTCTTATTTCGTTAGCACTGAAAAATGAATTTGTGGTGCCACCTTTGGTTCATCTTCGAGAATGAAGCTAGTGCATTAATCAGGCTACTTAGATGAATGGCTATGCATATAAATACAGTCAGGCAGACCTACGTAGAAATTTTGTTCCTATGCAAGCTGCATGTCTGCTGTGGGCATGTCGGTTGTTATATAGCTAATGTAATGATTTCATCAGTTAGATTGAAATTAGATTATTGTTGCCTTTCAGCCATCAGTATGGCTGTGTGTTTAATCTAGAGATCTTATGTTGTTGCACCTATGTGGCTCCTTACTACTGATGTGAGCTGGAACACTCTCTCTGTTCTAATATTTGAAAGGAAAATGAATACACACAGATGCTTTTTATATATTATTATTTTAATTTCTGTCTGTTTCTCTACATCTCCATGTTTACAGTTTGGCTCTGTATTTTCCTCTATTTGTATTTGTCAGTGCTATAATTGCCCTTTTTCTCTAAGTATGTTGTTTTGGGATATAAGCTATAAATGTGCATTTTATAAATATGCATTCCCAGCTGCGTGTCAGAGTGTGCACTTACAGGATGGAAGATTTAATAGAAAAAATATAGTTAAGATTCCATGAAAAATTTCCTGCAAAGCGGTTTTCATCTTACTTTGCTACTCCATGTTTTTTGCCTGCTGCTTGAGTAGCTCAGGTGGTATTTTTCATAAAAATATCCCAAATCTCTGCTTAAAAAAAAATCTGCTAGCGTCGTTTTCTTTCTATCCAAGATGCGATGAGATACGTCTGTCCAGGGGCAGGAGCAAGTTGTACGCTCAGTGTTTTCTTGCTACTATCTGAGGTTTTTGCACAAGGACTCGAGGACACGAGGACTGCAATCAGGAGCAGATATAATAGACCCAAATGAGGGAGTTAAAGAAAAAGAAAGGGAGACTTGAGTAAGAGACAAGAGAGTGAGTAGAAACACACCCGGGCAGCTGAGACTTGGTGATGCGGTAGCAGGGTTGAAGGAGCGCTAGGAGATCCGGAGACCAGGTGGAAGTGTTCAGCAAGGCTTCATCTCCTCGTGAGGAGGAGAGTAGACCTTGGTCAGCCATTGCACCCCAAAGGAGGGCTGTCCTGGGACCAGCCAGAGGCAAAGCATCGGGAAGGGCACTAGACACACATCTTTGTGATAAGCCTGCCTCCTGACCCATCCCTCTTCAGCCCCGAAATAACCATGATCTGTGTCGGCACAATGATCAACTCTCCGTTAATAGAAATCTGTAGTGGGAAGAAGGAGCCCTATGAAGGTTTCACCAGTCACTTTGGGTCTTTGTCCTGGAGAGCAAGCCCTCATGAAGACCACCAGCTTCCAGGGGCAAAGAAACACTACTCCCTGCTCCCTAAATACTGAGTGCATGGGGCTGGGAAGCTCAAGGAGCATTCATACACAGGACTAACAGGAACTCGGCATCAAAGGTGGTGCCTTCAGCTTGGGAAAAACTGGCATTGAATCCCACCCCTTTCTATCCAACCAAGGGATGTGTGGAGAGACCCTGGGGGGCTTTCTGCAGGGGGAACATGATGTGTAGGCCACAGTGCAATTAAGGAGTCTCACCCAGCAAAATGTTGCCAGTATTTATGCAAATGGACCTGAGCCAGGCTTGGAGCCCAGCTTGCATTTTTAAATTCATGTGCTTAAAAATAAGTTAAACCAACATCAACATTAAAATGTATCAGGCGTAGCAGAACTGCAGTCCTTTCGCAGTCTAGTTCATGTAAAACTCCTTCTCTGAGAAAGTCACAGGCCAAGATAACCCTGACGATGTATTTTGAATGTCAAAAAGACCCTCAGGTTGGCGTGTGTGAGCCCAAAGCCTGAGACTTTGTGCAGTCCAAGGCTTTGCTCCTGCTCCTTCCCATCAAGGATGTCATCAGAGTCGTCCTCCAGCATTAAGGTATGTGGGATACAATGGAGGCTACAAGGCAGTCTGTACATGGTGCCACCTGGATCAAAGCAGCACCTCAGGTCATGGGATTAAGCCAGAAGCCGACACAGATCCCGGAAGGAAGTGACACGGAGGGCACAAGCTCCCGGCATCCCTGAAAAAATGGCGAAGTGTCCACAAAGCCCAAGGAATCCGGGAAAGGAGAAGGAAGCGGGGAACAGCTGGCCACTGCTGCTTGTCCACGGGCCCCTGATTAGGTCGGCTTTAGCGGGCCGGTAATTGGTTGCAGCAATTATCCGCCGCGCTGAGAAGCGCCGCTCAAACTTCTCCAGCCTGGTGACAAATTGGAGCTGACTGCTGGCAAAGGAGTATCGACTTCCCATTTCTAAACAGGGGCATCATTAGTCAAGAAAAGCATCTTTTAATTACTCGCAGGAAGGGGGGAAAAAAAAGAAAAACGAAAAAAAAAAAAAAAGATCCTTAGGTATATTTCCTGCAACAACTGCAGGATTTTTTTTTTTTTGCCTCCCTCCAAGTGTATTTTCAATATTAAATTTATTGCCTTGGGACTGGGAGGGGGAAAGACGAGAGAGTTTGCCCCGAGTCCTTCTTTCAGTAATGTGGGTTTAATTTGGAGTGAGAAGTCAAATTAGAGCAAATCAATGTGGCAACAGTTAACCGAGTCTGGGGATGAAATCGGGATTTTCCCCTCTAATTGCTATTGATGCCATTTAAGTGCCCTCTTAAAACATTGATTCGGAGCAGAGCAAGGCAGGAGTGGTCGGGCCGGCAGCGGTGGGGCAGGGTTTGCCCAACGGAGGAATGTCAGAGCTGTGGGGAGCAGGCGGCCGCGGCAGCCTGGGCCCTGTTTCGCCTGGGCTTTTCACACCAGTGGGTATTTACAGTATTGCCCAAGGTTCAGCCTTCTCCTATACGCACCTCTTGTGCCTTTATTTTTAAACTAGGGTCGCTATCACAGCGATGGTTTTTGTTCATCCAGTGACGTGACGCAGTGAAGTGAAGTCGAAGGGCTCCACAGTGGCAACATCTTTTTGAGAATATTCCTAAGTTTTTGTTTTGTTTTGTTTTGTTTTGTTTTTTAACCCCTGATTCTGTTAAAAATGTATTCCAGAAGTGAGAAATGAGCAGTTTGTAGAAGCTCCTCTGCTTTCTGCCCTTTACAGCCTTTGCAGTTTGAAGCTCTGCTGAGAGGCACAAGGAGCAAGTCTTTAATTGCACGTTTGCAAGATTTTGGGGTTGCGTTGCAGGAAATACAGTGCATTTCTGAGCTCACATTTAGGTGCATTGGACACTATGGTGTGATTTTTTTTTTTGATGTTTTTGTATTCTAGCTGCTCTAGCAAATATTGCCAAAGCAAAAGTGCTTGAAAAATGCTTCATCTTTCCTGCAGTCAGGACTTCAGCAAGGCCAGTCCTAGGAGGAAAAAGTTCCTAGCTTTAAAATACAAGGATATGTCTGGTCCTTCCACGCTACAGCTTTTAAGCAAGTGCTCAGGATATGCTGTGTTGCCCAGGCAGGCCGTTTGCATAGTAAACAGGGCAGTTCCCCTGTTTATTCTGGTTAGCGAAGGTCACAGGAAAGCAGAAAGGTTCTTAATTCTGTCTGGGAAGTCTCGAGGTGGGAGTTGACTTTCACCTTAAGACGCGCAATCCGGTTTGATCCCCGGCTCACTAATGAACTGAATTTAATGGTGTCAGGGAAAGAAAGAAAGGAAAAAAACATTATGCAGCTCGACTGTGTTTAGCTGATTTTTACAAGGCAGAGCTAAAGGCCGGCCGGCCGTTGGGGCTGCCGTCTGCTGTGCTGAGAGTAACCTGGGCATAACCGCTGAGTGGCTTCTATGCAAAAATT